CTAAAATTCACTACAGTTCCCTATAGTTCGCAGAATTTCCTAGAAGGTCGCTGAACCTTCCTGAAAATTTCCGTGGACAAAATATGAGAACTGCAATGAAGCTCTAGCAACTCTGTAGTAATTCAAGGTGAGGGCTACCTAAACTCACTGGCTAAGAGTAACTAACCTCATGTGAGTTTCATTCCTGTATTATCGGCATTATCGATTAAACGATTTTCAAAATATATCGTCATGGTTGTCAGAATTTATTTTCGATCTCGCCGTTGAGTCAAACAAATCTATTTATTTTAAAAAATCCAAGCAAATTTTCAACCCCCTCAGGATGATATAGTGGTAAATACCACCTTTGCCAGCTGCTGAGTACAAAGCACAAAACTTTCGGATACCTACTATCTCCTTTATTGAGCTCCGGTAAAAATCTTTCAACGATCGTCGCTACTAAAGTGACTTTATTTTTTAACAGAGTCGGTTTTCGAAGAAAAATCTGAGGTACATGATTGTTGCAAAAAAAGTGCCATCAGACATAGCGTGTGTCAAATCCCAGTTTTAAATTTATTTACCAGTCAAATTGCTTTTTGACGTAATCACCTTCCGATCAAAATATTTTTCGATGTTACTTAAGTCACCCGATTTATATGGAGATGCCGTTTGCCTCAAGTAACAGCGCAGAGAAACCCGTGACAAGTGTACGTTCGTCGTTTCGCTTTCGCGTTATTAAAGCGAATAAATCGAACTGTTTGTTGCTAAGATGATTTCGGTAGTCCTAAAATGATGAATGGGTATGAAGACGTGATTGATAATTCCCCCGAATATCCTGGTAAATACACTTTGACTTAAGTAACATTAGGGGGCCATCAAACGACGTATAATAACTTTTGACTCAATAACCAGTATTTTTTAGCATGAAAGCTAGCGATCTGCTTTGTATGATTAAATTCCTGCTTAATATGTTAAACATTGCTATCACTGTGAGATTATATCAAGCTGAACATTGCATTAGGTCCTAAGTAACATTGAGATATTCTCTTCGTCGACTTTTTCTTTGTATCCTCATGGCCATGTAAAAACATTCCCAGGTATTTTCAGCACACAGATTGATAAAAGAAGCTTATATCTACAGGGTGTCTACTACCTGGAAAAACCTGGAAAAACCGGGAATTTACAGGGAATTTTATTTTTTCTGGAAAAACCTGGAATATTCAGGGAATTTTGGTTCCACTCAGGGAATTTCCCAATTATCACTTCATTCGTAATTCAATAGAAGTTTTTCGTTCAGTTTCTCGAAACGTTTCTTAAGGACACTGGATTTGACAAGCATCTGACATCTAAGACAACGTGTGCGAACAAGACAAGTTCATTCAGAGAGTCTTGTCACGCTCGCTCTTCGCTGATTTGTATGTGGAGGATCAAAATCGTCGTAAAAAGGAAACAGCCGAAAAAGAGAGACTGGCAACCGTCAAAAGGAAGCATACGAAGCATGTATTGTATAAGAATAAGCATGCGAGACAGCAGGTCTGAGAGCCTACATAGAATTTTTTTTGAGCTTCAGAGAGGGTCGGAGATCTACTGAGAAATTTTCAGGGAAATTCGCATAACTTCAGACAAGTCCAAGAATCTACAGTGAAATATAAAGTATTTCACAGAAGTTTGGAGATCCTCGAAACATTATTCAACATCAAAAAAGTTCGTAGATCTTCAGAACAAAGCTACAGAACTTTGAAAAAAAATTACAGGACTTCTGAAAAAATCACAAGAATCTCAGAAATGTTAATGGATCTTCAGTAAAAATTGCAGAACTTCAGGGAAGTTCGGCGATTTAATAAAAATATTTACACGATTTCAGGAAAATTTGTAGATCTTGAGAGAGACATTTATAACTTCAAAGAATCTCAAATATTTTCAGATAAATTTTGACAACTTTAGGTAATCTTCAAGGAAATTTTCAAATCTTCAGGGTAACCCGAGAGGAATTTACAAAACATCAGAGAAGTTTGCAGATCTACTGAGAAATTTATTGAGCCTCAAGTTTTTTTTTGTAGATCTTGGGAATATAGCTAAGGAGCGTAAGACAACTTTACAGAACTTTAAAGATATTTGCAGGAATTTGACAGAAAGTTTCGCAGTTTCACACAAATGTGAGATCTTCAGAAAAATTCGTTAAATGTCAGAAAAGCACCTCAATTCCAAAAACAAATCGCAGCGAAGTACAAAAGTACAATATTTTGCAGAACTCCGTGGAAGTCGGAAATAGATAGATCTATGGAAATTCAGAGAAGTCCGTAGACCTTAAAAGAAGTCCGTAGACCTTAAGAGAAGTCTGTAAAACGTCAGAAAGTTCGTACGTTTTTAGAAAAATTCGCAAAACTTCAGCAAAACTCACAGATCTTCGGGAAAGTTCGCCGATCTTTAGATCAAGAATCCACAAAGAAATTTGAAGAACTTAAGAAAAGTTCGGAGATCTACTGTGAAATTTATAGAACTTCAGGGCAGTTCGTAGATCTTTAGAGCAGAAATACAGTACTTCAGAAAACTTTACAGAATTAGAAATAAATTTTAGGAACTTCAGAAAAGTTCAGAGGGTAGATCGTAAATCAACTCAAAAATAAGCAGATGTTTAAATAAATTTTCAGAATTTTACTGCGGTTCTCGGATTTTTAAAGACATTTACAGAACTTCAGGTAAGTTCGCTAATCTTTAGAGATATTTGCACAGCTTCAAAAAAATTAGAAAAACTTCAGAATACTTCCTAAAACTTCCGGAAAGCTAAAAAATTTCTAGATAATCTTTTAATTCTTTAGAAAATTGTATAGATGTTCAGAGATATTTGCAGATATTCATTGAATCATGAAAATCTTCAGAGAAAATTACAAAACTTTCGATAAGTTTGTAGATTATTAGAAATTTTGTGAACATCAGAGACACTTGTTGATCTTCAAGGATCTTAAATCTTCAGGGATTCAGGAACTCTGTAGATTTTTAGGAAAATTTGCAGAACTTCTGAAGAACACACAGAACTTCAATGAAATCTGTAGAACTACCGAGACATTTGCAGATTTTCAGGAAAGATTGTTGATCTTTAAATAAATTTTACCAGAGAACAGTCACAAAACTTCAGAGACGTCAGAAGGTTTGAAGACCTTGCAGAATTGCGTTGTTAAAAGGAATTTTCAGAAATCAAGGAATCATGTATATCTGGTGAGAACTTTTCCCACTAGCTTGTCTAAAGTTGGTATCGACATCCTGGCGAAGTTTTGAAATCTATTTTCATCTTCATATCGCAGCTCTTGATGAGCCAGATCCCTGCCGGTGTTCCTCCTGAGCAACCGTTTCCTACTCCACAAAGTTCACCTTTTCTTTCTCATTTTATTTAAAATAATAAAAGCAAATACGTCTGCCGAAACTAGAGCAATTTTCCAGTAATTCATGATGGAAGTATTTACTTTTGATTCCTGATACAGTTTTGTTTTGAAATCTAAATTGGCAGTTCTTTCGACATGTGCAAGCAGTGTGAACACCAGCTAACAGGGGGGTTCGACAAAGTGTGTCGAAAGTAAATTCGAGCAGATTGATTTCATTATGGCGGCGGTCAAAATCAGACCATCAGACCAAAATCAGATAGTCTAAACGGACCTTAAGAGATTTTAGACATGTGAAACCATGATTTATTCTGTCTTGATCTTCCAAACAGAGTTGGACTCAAACATATTATCAAAATGATATTTTGTTTTTGAAAGCATATTGTTATCTAATTTTGATATATCGTTTTATCGAAATAGTATAGACAGGTTTGTTACTTGTATTTATATTCTTGAATTAAAAAAATACTACACAAATACCATGTGCCGACTTATAAGTACCAACGCCCAAAAATCGAAAATAACATAAATCAATAAGTACATAAAAGGGATTCCAGATGGATAAATAGATAAAATAATAATGTGTATAATTTGTATGCACCTGGAATTTTTTTTTCATCCGACCTGGAAAAACCTGGAAAACTCAGGGAATTTGATTCCTTAGATTGAGTAGACACCCTGATCTAGCATCATCAGTAGAGATGAACCAGCCTAAGGCTGAAAGTCTCGTTAATAAACGAAAAAAAAAATATCTAGCATCTAATACGACAATTACAACAAGAAACGGGTATGTGTTCAAGTAATTAACGAAAAAGAAAGTCGACGAAGAGAATCGATCAATGTTACTTAGGACCTAATGCAATGTTCAGCTTGATATGTGTTGAATTGGAAATGGGAATAACTTTTCGGTCACCAAAACAAAACTTTATTTTTCTAGGATCGGTGCGAATGTTACTTTCGAAGTACCCTTACTTTAGGCCACCCCGCTAGGGTAAAATTGGGCCAGCTATAGGCTGGCAGGTAAGCTGTAACTTACAAAAGGTATAAATTGTAGCGTTTTTAATTTTCTTCGACGATAAAACTGACCTAAGTTATAATTATTTGAACAACGTTTTAAAGTAATAACCAGTAGTAAATTATTACAACGTGCCCATAAGAAGTATTAAGCCAAAAATTTAAAGCAAAAATTATGCATCGGCAATATAGCTTGTACATGACGGCATACCCATCAACGAGAGCGTTTACATGCGGCAGCATGAGAATCTTCTCACGTTTGGTGGGCAACGCTATTCATTCATCAATTCATTTGCTCCTCTCTTCACAGAGAGGCACAACCCATCCATCGGAATATTTGGCAATCCTACAAAACAAACCTACATAGCTCGCGATAAGTATGTACCTACATCGGCAGGTATGGATCCTCTCCTGAAGGGTTGCTCCGTTGAACTTTTCATATGCCAACCCGGTGGAGACGCTCGATACAACACCAAACCACCGGGCCGCTCTGATTCGCGCCATCCACTCATTGAGACGACGACGACTATGCTGTGACGTCGCTGCAGCTCTCTGTGTTGTGTTTTGTGCATTATTAAATATCGGCGAATTCACGCGATTTCTGCCAGTAGAGCAGCGCTAGTCGTCTGAGTCATGTCGAGCTGGGCTTTGCACTAGCCTAAAGTCGCGCAAGTTTCCAAAAGAAAAGTTTGTTGGTCGAAGTGAGTTTTGGTGTGTGTGACGATTTGTGAAAAGTGTCCAGTTTTGTAACATTTCTGTTGGTGAACTAATTCTGCATGAAACAATGTCAGTGCTGCCGAGAAACGTAACGGAAGCCATCAAGGAGTATGTGGCCTCCCGGGGGATCAAGAATCCCAAGTTTGACATATCTAGTGGTTCCCGGAATGGGGACAGCTACTCGGGCGATGTGTATCGGATTGTAATTACGCCGGACGAAAAGGATCTGGAAGACTGCCGCAACAATAACAGCGATGGGTGAGTACGGCGATGGATGGCAGCATGTGCATCCTGGAAAACGTGTGTGAACTCTGGGGCCTTATCGGTTAAATTTCGGCTGATGGCAACGGCTGTCAGTCGAATGGCGTTTTTTATTTGTTTGTGGCACAGCGAAGATAACGGCCCGAGATATGATCAGCTCGGTCCAGTTTTTTTTTATTTTTTGTTGAAGAGTCGATGTAGGCTTGCAAGTGGTTAGAAATTCTTTAGATGCATGGGACAGGGGATAGCAGGTTGTGACTCACAAACAAGTTTGAAGCGGCACACGCCCGTTGGTAGTAATTATATTCCAGTCATGCAAATCAAAATCCAAATCGAATCCATTAGGAGCTCACAGTGTCGGGAAACTGCATTCTATTAAGGTGCATGGGAATGCGGGAGATTTTGTGTGAACCTTGAAGGCGATATTTCAGTTTAAGATTGTAAATGCTTTACACGGCCACTGAGAATAACTCAGAGAGAGAGACTCACTTTCCCTTCTACTTAGATGTATGGAGAAATTTCTAAAAATGTTTCATGACAGTGCAGTGCTTTAACAATGAAAAACTATCATCAAAACATAAACAGCTAAAAATCAAACATAAAAATAATATATTACATAGGGGAAATGGCCCTATTGTTGGCCTATGGATCTAAGATTGGGCCCATCGCTAAAAATCTGCTATTTATCAATTTTATCTAGATGAACGCGTCATTAGGGCGGTACTAATGGATAGTTTTGGTCGGTATGAAAATTTAGTCTATTACTAAATTAATGTATGGGCCCAAATTAGGGGCATTTAGGCCGACATTACATCCGTTTCCCCTTTCACATCAGAATCGTGTTTCAAAAGCTGAAAAACTGCATTTAAAAAAACTTTTCCAATACACCTACAGACTTAAATGTCATACCTTTGTGCACGCTGCGGCATTTCAGTTGATTTTGTTCCTTTTTCAACCGATAGTAACACTTTATGAACCTTTCTGTGCTGCATTTTTGTTGACTTTCAAAGTAAGTTTCAAATATATTTGAATTCAATTTAAATTTTGTTCTATGAATCAAATGTGAGCAGTTTGGCGTGGAACATCGATTATGCGTGAAGCTTAGCATGATTGTTTCTAATGGGCAAGTTAATAAATTGGTTCAAAAGTTGGTGTTGTACGATTTTTGTCAATGTTTAAGAGCCTAGGGTTTCCAATATTTAAAATGTTTGCATTTTTCTTAAGCTTTTTTAAATCTTATCTATCTAATCTAATCTAACACCAACACAGCCAGTTCATGAAAGCATCCTGGAAAATGATAGATATACCTCCATCCTTGTTCTTGTCTATTTGGTGAGAGATGCGCAAAATATATCAAAACGGCCAGGCCTTCTATGCAGCATTTAAGGGGCAAGATGATTCAGAAACATCGGGCCTGTTTTAATCAAAGATTTAAACACGATGCTTCAGAATCCAATACATCGATGAAACGTGGACATCTCGTACCGTACGTTCCGTTGTTATAAATGATTGGTGCAGGTTATTACACTATTCAATATCTAAACAGCCCAACATACTTTTCTTCTGCAAGAAATCCCTCAACTTTTGATTTGGTCTTCACTGATTCATGTCAACCTGTAGCCAATTGGTTACCCATGCTGACTTCGGTTCTGATCACCTTCCAGTAACTTTTGAAATATCCCAAGAAATAATTTCTAATCCCAACAGCTCTACTTTCAATTACCATAGAGCTGATTGGGGACAATATCCAACATTTATGGAATATAACTTCGATTCAAACATTCCTTTGCAAACCAAAGATGAAATTAATTATGCTCTTGAATCTCTGACTACTTCTATAGTTGAAGCAAGAGCTGCCTCAGTACCAAAATGCGAGGTTTAATTCGATTCAATTATAATAAAAAACGATCTTCAGCTCTTGATCCGTCTTAAAAATGTCCGTAGGAGACAATATCAAAGAACACGCGATCCTGCCATGAAAGTTATCTGGCGGGATTTGCAAAAAACAAATTAAAAAACGATTATCTGCCCTGAGGAACAAAACTTTTGAAAATAATGTTTCTAAATTAGACCCGAGTTCCAAACCCTTTTGGAAACTCACAAAAATTTTGAAAAAACCTCCAAAGCCTATTCCAGTTGATTTTTCATCAAAATACAGCACGAAAGCGGCTCTTCGAAATGATGTCTAAGACAAAGTTGTAGAAACCGAAACAGGTGAATATATAAACAGGAACGATCTCACCAAATGAACGATGGTTTGCCTGTGAAGCAAAAACTTGGAAGACTGTTGCATCTCCTAGTTCTAGCTCCACACTTCAAACCATTCCATCGGATCTTCAAAGAAACTCTTGCACAATCCGCCTCCAATCCAATCAGAATCATTGCGCCAACTTTCCAATCGCCTAATAACAGTCCGGACGAAAAGGATGCTGATAAAAACACTTTGAAATGCACTTTACCCGATCACTTGCACTTGCTTTGCACTAAACTATGTTATCGAGTGACACATTGTTTCAGGCTAAAATGCGATGGAAAAATCAATGACAGAAAAAATCAAGCCTAAAATTTTCGAACCCATGATTTTCTGCTCAGTAAGCAAAATTGGTCGCCACAAGCCCAAAGAGCTCCTTAAATCACAGAAAAATTACGATCAAGTTCCCGTTTAACTTTCTGTTACTAGATTTCGATCCCTGTGGTGATCTTACCAACGTCGACAACAACTGCTCTTGAAAAGGATTTTATATGCAATTCCGATTAGCGTTAGCGTCAGCGTTGCTACGGTATACTTCGGATACTAGTGACACTCACGTCTCTGTTGAAATTCTTAGTCAGACTGCGTTCAGGAATAATGCTAAGAAGCTAACATTATTTCCAATCCAAACAAGAATACCAAATGCATGACTGTCACTGATCCTGGCCATGCTGAAATTTACCGTTACTAGGGATAGGAAAGGAAATGTTGATATAGTAGTTACTCAACGAGAAGCCACCGAATTAGTGACACCCTCATAAGTACTAAGGAGTTGGAGTATTGGGTATAAGATCAGGATACGCCTCAGCCAACCAAAAGCATATGATTGTTTTTTTAGGTATTTGATAATAAACCCACGATCATATTCCCAGTAAGCAAACGTAGCAGCCGTTAAACTAGCCGAGTTCCTCAATTTGTTTTCTTAGTACTGTATTAGTGAAATTTATATGGAACATAATGTTACGAACTAAATAAATAAAAAGGAAGGATCTCACCCGAATAATCCTTGTAGCTCCCGAATACAGTTCAGAAAAGTTTCTTGGATCTTGATTAAGGAAAACCGCTACTCGTTGCCAGCCCTCCGAAAGAGATGCATCAAATGCAACAGTCCGGCATCTCTCGGTATTACTATAAGCCTGTTGGATTCACAGCATCGTGATCATCTTAGGATCTTCGTTGGCCATCAGCCAAGACAGCTCCCAACAAACACCGCTCCTGGATCTTATTTTTTAGAATTTAAGAAATCTCCTGCTCCAAGTACTAGTCTGAAGGTGTTCAACAGGTTAAAAAAAATACAAATGTCGTTTCTCAGCTAGGTTGATTAAGATCATGATCTGAAGATCATCAAATTTTCAAAAATTCCAATGGCATCTCTCTCATATTCGCCCAAGGCGGCAGCTTGGTCAGGAAGTTTCGAAAGATTTCCAGCTGATTGGAGATTTCCAAGCGGTAATCAACTCTGCACACTGTGCCGAAACACAGCACTGCACACTTTTTGGCACGTAGGGCACACGTTGACAAGTATGACACAAACAATATTATATAAAACGGCAGCACTGCAGAGTTTTGCCAATCGTATTTACTCATAAAACTATGGTTACTGCTTTGAGATACTGAAAACAAAATTGAAAAAAATCTATGGACAGTTGACTTCCGATCCCACCCCTGGTGAACCATTGTCCAGACCGAATCTTCTCAGGGTCTTCTGCAGGAGATCGTTTAACGTTTCCTTTAACGCTGCCGGTTCTATTGCAGGGAATATTCAGCATCATATTCAAGACGTTTGGCGAACGGATGGATTGTACTGTGCCACGACTAATATTCACTCGCTTCTCCCCTGCCGGCTTTTCTCGTCTAGCATCACAAATGCTTCCAAGTAGGACATCAGAGTATGCAGCAAGATATCGCTAAATAAGCCACGTTTCCCTTCGTTTCTTCGCGAACAAATGTTCCCATATTGCGCGAGATAATCGGGGATCGGAAGCTTATGTGTGGGAGTTTCTCCAGATCAGATCCAACTAAACCAGAAGGACGATGAAACCGAAACAATTATGTCCGATGATCGACAATCCCAAATACTTTTAATAGCGCCTCTAATGCTGATGCTAGAAGGCCGAACACTTGTCCGTATCGGCGTGGAACATATCCACCGGTTTTAGTTTCCGTTGAACAAACGTTTCAGCTGTTTTCGGCAGTCTTCCTCGGGGGATGTTAATTCTACCGTAATTAAATTTCTTCTGAGGAAGGCCGTTAATTTTTTCTGAGTATGTATCCACCGAGAAACCGTTGTGAACATACACGACCAACTCCAATAACTCAGCGACTGAATTCAATTGACTCAGAGCTTTTTCTGTCCGTACGGAATTTACTCATATTAGGAAAAAACTACAGTTACTCATAGCAATGCTCATAGCTCAGAGTCAATTGAATTCAGTCGCTGAGTTATTGGAGTTGGCCGTGTAAACAAGCACAAAAGTCATTATAAATACAGGGTTGCCAAACTTATGGGATATTGACGCCTTGATTGACAGATTTCGGTTCATTCGGCACAGCGTAGGCACAGCTAATGAGGGTAGGCACAGCTAATGAGGGTGCCTAAAGTGCCTGGCTCCCTCAAGAATGATCCAGGTGCCTCCTGATTTTGACATAGGACTACGTCTTTCGGTAACATATTGGGGATGCATTTTCAAAAAACCAAAATCGTCCGCATTACGAAAAGTGGTTAGGTTTTGACCACTTATAACTC